AAGAAGATGGAGGAGGAAGAAGGTGTGAGGTGGTTGACTATTGAGGATGGGTGAAGAAGATGGAGGAGGAAGAAGGTGTGAGGTGGTCGGCTATGATGGATGGGTGAATAAGATGGGGGAGGAAGAAGGTGTGAGGTGGTCGGCTATGSTGGATGGGTGAAGAAGATGGAGGAAGAAGATGTGTGGTGGTTGGTTATGGTGGATGGGTGAAGAAGATGGAGGAGGAAGAAGGTGTGAAGTGGTCGGCTATGGGGGATGGGTGAAGAAGGTGAGGAGGAAAAAGGTGTGAGGTGGTTGGCTATGGTGGGCGGGTGAAGAAGATGGAGGAGGAAGAAGGTGTGAGGTGGTCGGGTATGGGGGATGGGTGAAGAAGATGGACGAGGAAGAAGGTGTGAAGCGGTCGGCTATGGTGGATGGGTGAAGAAGATGGAGGAGGAAGAATGTGTGAGGTGGTTGGCTATGGTGGATGGGTGAAGAAGATGGAGGAGGAAGAAGGTGTGAGGTGGTTGGGTATGGTGGATGGGTGAAGAAGATGGGGGGGGAAGAAGGTGTGAGGTGGCCGGTTATGGTGGATGGGTGAAGAAGATGGCGGAGAAAGAAGGTGCGAGGTGGTCGGCTATGGTGGATGGGTGAAGAAGATGGAGGAGGAAAATTGTGTGAGGTGGTTGGGTATGTTGGATGGGTGAAGAAGATGGAGGAGGAAGATGGTGTGAAGTGGTTGGCTATGGTGGATGGGTGAAGAGGAAGGAGGAGGAAGATGTGGTGAGGTGTACGATATCTCTTCCTATTCTTAGTGTCCGGTTTCGTCTCCTCGAAGTTATCCCTAACCCCGGACTTCAAAGAGTTCTAATTTGCAGCCACTAGACCGGCAGTCGAGATGCAAAAAACACAGACTTGCAAAAAAACGTAGATTTCAGAGAACGCAGATTTTGCAGATTTGCAGATTTTGCAGATTTTGCAATTTTTGCCCAAGGTGGGAGAACAGAAAAATACAGGCTTCCGTTTCTTACCCCAAACGGTGTTCGAATCAGTTCTAATTTGGTGGGCTCTCTGTCTGTAACGTATGGAAGGCCCCTATAAAATTGGGGGTAATTCCGTCGCCGTTTGTCCTTACTTGCCCGTTTCAGGCATCGTCCGAGTCCCAAGACGAATAGTTGAGTGAAGTCCATTTCCCGCATTTAATTAGAGCATAGGGGGGGGACAAGCGGAATTCAAATAGAGCACGGGGAAAGAACCGGTTCATCAGCAAGTGAGGACGAACTGAACTTGACAAGTGAAACTACAGCAAACACACATGTGAGTCATGGAAGCAACTAGGGGAGCACCGATACATCATTAAGTGAAGGGGAGTTGAACTTGACAAGTGAGACTACAACAAACACACGTGTGAGTCATGGGGGGGCAACTAGGGACGAACCGGTGCTTCACCAAGTGAGAAAGAACTGAACTTGACAAGTGAAACCACAACAAACACACATTTGAGTCATGGAGGCAACTAGGGAAGCACCGACACACCACCAAATTGAAGAAGAACGGATCTTGATAAGTGTCACTGCAGCAAACACACATATGAATCATGAAGACAACTAAGAAAGAACTGGTACATCACCAAGTGTCGAAGAACTGAGCTTTACAAGTGCAACTACGACAAACACACATATGAGCTATGGAGATAACTAGGAAAGAACCGGTACACCATCAAATGGAGAAGAACGGAACTTAACCAATGCAACTACAGTAAAACACACATGTGAGTCATGGAGACAACTAGGAAAGAACCGGTGCATCACCAAGTGTAGAAGAACTGAACTTGACGAGTGCAACTCAACAAACACACATGTGAGCTATGGAGACAACTAGGAAAGAACCGGTACATCACCAACTGTAGAGGAACTGAACTTGACAAGTGCAACTACAGTAAAACACACATGTGAGTCATGGAGACAACTAGGAAAAAAACGGTGCATCACCAACTGTAGAAGAACTGAACTGGACAAGTACAACTATATCCAACACACAGGTGAGTTATGGAGACGATTAGGAAAAAAATGGTACATCACTAAATGTAGAAGAACTGAACTTGACAAGTGCAACTACAGTGTGTGTGTCCGAAAATCGATTCAACGCGGGTTTCGCGTTGAAAAATTGAACAAGCGTTGAATTCACGTTCAACCCCCGTTCAAACGCGCGTTGGACACGGATGAACGGGGTCCGCGAACCGCGTTTCCGCGCATTTTGGAGGAGGGTAGGGGTTTTCTGACTGTGTGGGGTGGTAGTGTCCGTTGTCGGGTACCGCCCCATGCACTTTAAAAAAAAAAAAAAAAAAAAAAAAAAAAAAAAAAAAACCCACGCGCGAACCCCTTTGCGTCCTGCAGGGCGTTCACGGGGTGCCTGCCTTCGCCGGCCTGCTGGGGGGTGGCGCAGGGGAAACAGTCCAACCGGGTACAAAAACGGTACTTGCGTTCGGCCGCAGCCCATTTGCCGCACGAGCCATAACGCTCCAACGCGTCAAACGGGTTTCCCCTGCGTCGAACGCTGCGGACGAGGCAGAGAGAGTGAGAGAGAGAGTGAGAGAGAGAGAGATTGAGATTGCGCGCGAGAGAGAGAGAGATTGCGCGCGAGAGAGAGAGAGAGAGATTGCGCGAGAGAGAGAGAGAGATTGCGCGCGCTAGAGAGAGAGAGATTGCGCGCGCGAGAGAGAGAGAGATTGCGCGCGCGCGAGAGAGAACGAGAGAGATTGCGCGAGAGAGATTGCGCGCGAGAGAGAGAG